TGCACCCCCACGGTGGTGTCCTGCGACCAGGACCTCAACCACTTCATCCTGCAGAACGAGGAGCGGCTGTTCCAGTGCAGCTACCCCAGGCCGATCCATGGCATCCTGGGCAAGTCCTCCATGCTCGTGGTCCTGGGCGAGGACCACAAGCGCCTCAGGAACCTCGCCCTCGCCCTCGTCACCTCCACCAAGCTCAAGCCCAGCTACCTCGGCGACATCGAGAAGATCGCGCTGCACGTCGTCGGCGCATGGCGACGACTCGACGACGGCGGCGGCGTCAGGGTCGTCGCCTTCTGCGAGGAGGCAAGAAAGGTTAGCTAGCGGCTATGCACCGAACGGATGGTCATGCTGCCTCTGCATGAATCGATCTTTTGCCATGGTGACTTTGTTTGACTCACAAGGGTCGTTTTTTTTTTCTTTCCTTTTTTCCATTTTCCTCTGGGTCGGCCGGCCGTGTCCTCTGCTCTGTCCTTGAGAAGCACAGTTCGCATTCAGTGTGATAGTGAAGCAGGTGCTGGGGCTGTCACCAGAGGAGCCGGTCACTGCGAGGATACTGGAGGACTTCCTGGCCTTCATGAAGGGCCTCATCTCCTTCCCTCTCTACATCCCAGGGACCCCATATGCCAAGGCTGTCCAGGTAATAATCATCCAGCATGTCTTTATTAGCACATGCCATGCTTGCGTTAATAAAGAACATCGATCGATCTCTTCATTAGTATACATACACACTATATTTGCTTACATCAGTAGTAAATAATACAGTATATAACCGTGGTTTATTTTGCTGTCTGCTGCTCCTAATATAAATCCTAATGGCAGGCGAGAGAGAGGATATCCAACACTGTCAAGGGCATCATCGAGGAGCGGAGGAGTGCTGGGTCATGCAACAAGGGCGACTACCTTGACGTGCTGCTGTCGAGCAACGAGCTCTCTGACGAGGAGAAAGTGAGCTTCGTGCTGGACTCCCTGCTGGGAGGATATGAGACCACCTCGCTCCTCATCTCCATGGTCGTTTACTTCCTTGGGCAGTCTGCTCAAGATCTGGACCTGGTTAAGGTAATTTATACCTGCTTTATTTTAAACTACTGTGAAGGCACAGGCAATGCTAATTTATTTTTATGCTGGATGTGGCCACCAATAAATAAACTATCCATGAACAACATGCAGAGGGAGCACGACAGCATAAGATCCAACAAAGGGAAGGAGGAGTGCTTGACTTCAGAAGACTACAAGAAGATGGAATATACCCAACAAGTGAGATAGATGATCATTCATTCAATATATGCATGCTGGTATTAGACATGGCTGTAGCATGTAATCCCTCCACTCCAGGGACAATAAATTTCTGTTAGCAGCAACCCACACAAATACTTAAATTTAAATCTCCAAAATATGAGAATTTTTAATTTTGTGCTGTGTGTAAATATATGTAGTATGTGGAAATGCTGTTGTCTTGCTGATGACGTGGTGGTTTCCATTCTTGCAGGTTATCAACGAGGCGCTGAGATGCGGCAACATTGTCAAGTTTGTGCACCGGAAGGCGCTCAAAGATGTCAAATACAAAGGTGAGATGAATGAACCCCTCCTGCATCGAGCGAAACTTTCGCGGCAGATTCCATTTGTGCTCATCACATGATAATGGATCAGGCAGAGGGGATGGTCGCACCTTTAAGCCTGATTTTTAAGCATTGTTATGCCCAGAATACCTCCTAGCTTTTGCTAAACTAAGATGCTCAAAAGCAAGTGGCTCTCCCTTTTGCTCTGTTGCAGAGTATCTGATTCCATCTGGCTGGAAGGTCCTACCAGTCTTCAGTGCTGTTCATCTGAACCCCTCACTTCATGGAAACGCACAACAGTTTCAGCCCTGTAGGTGGGAGGTACGTACCTTGTGTTCTTTCTCACTGAGACTCCTTCCTAATCACTGTTCTGCACTTGCCATCTAACTAAAAATAATGGCATTAATGATCCAATAATTCATGTTCCATAAATAGTCAAGCTTAGCTTTGTGATAATATATATGCCTACTTATTCAAAACTGAAATATACCAAGAAAAAAAAGGCAGGGAACCTATCAAACAAGCTTATCAGGGGCTTTTAGGGAATCTTCCTTTAAAGTGTGTACTCTAACTAATTGCTACCTTTAATTAGTGTGTGTCCATCTGTGACATAATTACTCGCAACTGTTCTGGTATCTTCAGATGCCAAGCTTGCAGCCTGATGTAGTGCTTGTTGTTAATGGTCCTAACCATGATTCCGTTCGTTGAAAGCCAGCCCTCTGGGCTTTGCTTCATTTTTTTTTCTTTAGTGATGTTCATGGTTCCATTCATATGTGTGACTCATCTGATTGATATATACCAGGGCACAAGCCAAGGGACAAGCAAGAGGTTTACACCGTTCGGTGGTGGCCCCCGGCTCTGCCCAGGATCAGAGCTTGCTAAAGTAGAGGCTGCTTTCTTCCTCCATCACCTTGTCCTCAATTATAGGTAAAAACAAAGGATGGTATTAGTCAAAGCACAGTACGCATCAACATCATGCAAATTTCTAGCCAACATAAGGAAATAATGTGGCAGGACAGTGTTAATCCAAATAGAACAATATCTGTCAGGCCATGAACGTAAAAGCAAAATAATGCAGTAATCATTGAACATTTGAACCACATGCTAGGAAGTAATGGCAAGAAGGTTATGACAACACTGTTAAATACAAAATTATGATGAGGCAAAAATGGACAAGGACCCAGAATAATGAGCACCCTCTTCGCATGGGCTTGTTTGGCTTATAAGTCGTACTTTTTCAGCCAACGAACAATATTTTTTTCTCACACCAAATCAGCCAAAAGAACTTTCAGCCATGACTTATCAGTCAAACAAGCCCAAACGAACAACCAATAGTAAGAAAAAAATATAGCAAGTGATGGCAACAAGGTTAAGATAAGAACTGGTCTCTATAATTTATGTTTTTATCGACAGGGACCACAGGTCACTAAATAAATGTTTAAGTAATTTTTGATCCAGAACTGTAGAACATATCAGACGACAACAAACAGAACAAACATTGGCAGCATTAGGTTTTCGACAAGTAGGTTTTGCAAGTTGAGGGGTATCATACAAGATATAGAATTCTGCAATGTGATCAAACTGCCAAATTTTGTCCATAATAACCATCTGAATGTGACAAATGACTAACCATTGTTATTTTTATTTCAGAGTAGTAAAATTACTTACAGTTGTAGAAACGCCATTAGCTGATCATCGCTATTCGGTTGTTGCAAACTTGATGCCTTGCAGATGGAGAATTGATGGCGATGACATTCCAATGGCATACCCGTATGTGGAGTTTCAGAGAGGTTTGCCAATAGAAATCGAGCCAACTTCCCCTGAATCTTGACTGTCCTGAAGCTTCAGCCGCAGCGTGTTCATCAGTTAGTAGTACACCAGAGAGAAAGGGGAAGGTGCATGGAGCATATACATGAAGGATCAGTGACAAATCCCATAAATGAAGGAAACACTGAGCACGGGCTATAGTAGCTAGCATGAGGCAGCTGAGACTGTAATTTGATGTACACGGTGTAGATATATTTTGTCCATGGCAATTGCTTGAGGTGGTTGATTCACTTCACCCTGTAAAACATTCTCCAGTGGTTCAACTACTATCCTATAAAAAAAGAAGGGCCCCTGGGTTTCGTAAGGCTCTCATCATCTAACTCTGTAGGACTCAGCTAGATATCGTTACTAACAACTGGCCGTACTTACTCTGAATGATGAACGCTTGTTTTTGGTCTGGTAACTGGGGTGAAAATGTCACACTTGAATTTGGCATTAGATTGAAGAAATGATGAATAAGAATGCAAATTAAAGTTGAGGAAAACTTATGTCACCTAGTGAGAAGGGTAGACAGACGACAAGTTTTCTGGCTAGCCTGTAGGATAGTTTATTTGCCATTTGTTCAGCCAGAGGTTCCGTTCTGGAGTCAGGACACGGCATACAGTGATACAGCTGCAAGATTAAATTGTCAAAAACAAGGGCGAAAAAGTTTGTTTGCCATTTGATCGCCCACAAGTTCTGTTCTAGAGTCAGGAAGCGGTATACAGCTGCAAAATGAAAATGCCACAAAAGCTCTGTTCTGGAGACTGTAGTCAAGAAGTTTCAGCGGCAAGATGAAAATGTAAAAAACAAAGGGGAAAAAAGTAAAAAAAAAAGTTATGGTCTGGAAACTGGAGTCAGAAAGTTACAGCGGCAAGATGAAAATGTAAAAAAAAAAAGAAATTGAGAATGGAGTCAGGAAGTTACAGCGGCAAGATGAAAATGTAAAAAAACAAAAAAAAAAATAGAAAGTTACAGCGGCAAGATGAAAATGTAAAAAAGAAAAGAAATGGAGAATGGAGTCAGGAAGTTACAGCGGCAAGATGAAAATGTTAAAAAAAAAAAAAAAATCAGAAAGTTACAGCGCAAGATGAAAATGTAAAAAAAAAAAAATGGAGAATGGAGTCAGGAAGTTACAGCGGCAAGATGAAAATGTTAAAAAAAATCAAAAACTAAAATTGGCCCATGCAGGTCTCGAACCTGCGACCTTCGCGTTATTAGCACGACGCTCTAACCAACTGAGCTAATAGGCCAACTTGCCTGTTGCACACTTGCATGGTTATTTCTATTGAGATGCACTGCATTGGAGTCACACCTATCACCTAGCATAGCCAGATGACATATATATAGCAACGTTTCATTCAAAGTAAAATCGTGATTTCATCCCAAAGCATCGTATAGCAATGTTTCATTCAAAGTAAAATCGTGATTTCGTCCCAAAGCATCGTTTATTCATGAGTATGATAATATTAACATATGTACAAGCACAACAATTGCTTCTCAAAAGTGTTCCACAAGCACACAAACTGGAAAGCATAAAAGCTACCACCTTATTGAACGGAAATAATTAGGGAGGCAGGCAACTGGATCAGAAGAAAGTCTAATTTAATGGGTCCAGGGAGGAGCCGCCACTAGACTTCAGATATTATGCTTGGGTTTCAGGAAATCTGGCTGATTGGTAACTGATCTAACCCATGCCCATTTGTGATCATTCACATCGACAGGGTTCTTTGCCACAGCGACATCTTCCAGTGGTATGTAACTGTAGGTCCCATTTACTGGACCAGGTACAAAGCCAGTAAACCCAGCCACGACTCCATGGATGGCGGAATGCGCCAGCAAAGTGCAATACAAATTGTCGGTGGCGTTTGCAGGAACCGCTCGAATCATGTATGTAGGGTCAATGTACTTCACAGTGAACAGTTCGTTGGGATGTTCTCTCTTCCACCATCTGCCCAGCTCGGATTTCAGCCAGGGTCCCACATCAAGAAACACAATGTTGCCAGACTCATCCTGCTCTCGCTTCTGATCATCAGTCCGGGGAATCAGTTCCTGACCAGCTCCTTCAGCAACCACGATGACAGCATGCCCCTTCTTCTTAATCCGTTCATACAGAAACTCAAAAAGGCCACCCTTACCTTCCAGGTGGAAATCAACCTCTGGGATCAAGCAGCAGTCAACGTCCCGACTGCTCAGAGTGGCATGAAGAGCGATATGACCTGTACTCCTTCCCATAAGTTTGACAAGGCCTACACCATTGACAGCGCTAAGAGCCTCCACATGAGCAGCGTCAATTGCCTGCTGAGCAATCTCCACCGCAGTTTGGAAACCAAATGACCTGTCTATGATGCCAATGTCATTGTCCACAGTTTTTGGGATCCCAGTAATAGATATGTTCAGACCACGGCGTTTAAACTCTTGAAAGATAGCCACAGCCCCTCTCATGGTTCCATCCCCTCCGATCGCATATATCTTCAATAAAAAAAGAAATATTTGGACGTGATCAGTTTAGTTTATAATGTACTTTATAAGGAAGAACATGCATTTGTTAAAGCACTCAAAAGTCAAAACACGTGTACGAACTATAAGAAGGGAAACAATTGGCCACTGTGAGTAAACAACTCAAAAACTCATTTTGAACCCTGAAATCTCCAACTAAATAGTATAGCACTACTTCTCTTCTGTAATACCCATGAACTGCCCAGATTCAATCACTACTAGAAAACAGGCGCGGCGTTGCCGCGCGCTTCCCTGTGTCAGGCCAGTCTGTGATATGTGAATATGATCAGTCTGTTGCCTAGCCTCGTACCTCAACGAGTTGGAGCAAACTGACCCACGGATATTTGTCACGTTCGAAATAAGCTGTTGATGTCTTGTTTGGCGCATATACATGAAACCAAGATCAAAAGTATGATAGCAGTTTGTTCAATAATAAGAAGATATAAGATTCATTTACACTAATTACTCATATTCAGGCATAATTAAATCATTTACATTAATTACTCATATTCAGGCATAGTTAAATCATTTTCCATTATCAACGCTGAGTCCTTTCTATGTAAAGGCGAACTTATGGCCTTAGCTAGGTTGCTAGCCATCACAGATCATCATTCAAACAAAAAAAAGGTCCACAAAACATGAAGTTATAATATGAGAAATCACATTGTGAAACATAGGCTCCCTGTAAAAAAAAACTATTGGCCCAAGAAAAATCACGGAAAAATAAGACAGGAGGATATATTGAGCAAAGGTATTACTATGTTCTAACAATTAGAGATATATTCAGCAAAGATAGTACTATGTTCTAATAATTAGTATCGTTGTATTGATCTTCCCGATTAGGATAGGACTACATCAAGGGTCAGTTTTGAGCCCTTATCTGTTTGCCTTAGTGATGGATGAGGTCACAAGGGACATACAAGGGGACATCCCTTGGTGTATGCTTTTCGCGGACGATGTAGTGCTAATTGATAAAAGCCGGACAGGAGTGAGTCAGAAACTGGAGTTATGGCGGGAGATTTTGGAGTCCAAAGGTTTTAGACTCAGTAGAACTAAAACTGAGTATATGAGATGTGACTTCGGCACTACTACTCGGGAGGAGGAAGATATTAGTTTGGAAGGTCAAGTAGTGCCTAGGAAGGATACCTTTCGATATTTACGATCAATGCTACAGAGAGACGGGGATATTGATGAAAATGTTAGCCACAGAATCAAAGCAGGGTGAATGAAGTGGCGCCAAGCATCTGGTGTCCTTTGTAACAAAAGGGTACCACAGAAGCTAAAAGGCAAGTTTTATAGGACGGCGATTAGACCTGCTATGTTGTATGGTGCAGAATGTTGGCCTACGAAAAGACGACATGTTTAACAGATAAGTGTCGCGGAAATGCGTATGTTGCGTTGGATTTGCGGTCATACAAAAACGGATCGAATTCGGAACGATGATATATGCGATAGGTTAGGGGTAGCACCAATTGAAGAAAAGCTTGTCCAACACCGGTTGAGATGGTTTGGACATGTCCAACGGAGACCTCCAGAGGCACCGGTGCGTAGTGGAATCCTAAGCCAGGATAGTAACGTGAAGAGAGGCAGAGGAAGACCGAAGTTGACTTGGGTAAAGGCAATAAAAGGAGACTTGAAAGTATGAAATATACCCAAAGATTTAGCCTTAGATAGGAGTGCTTGGAAAACAACTATTCACGTGCCTGAACCTTGATTGCTTTCTGCTGGGTTTCAACTCTAGCCTACCCCAACTTATTTGGGATTTAAAGGCTTTGTCGTTGTTGTTGTGTTGTAGTAGTCATATTGTAATTTAGCTTGCCATCAAAACATCTACCAGTTTTAATTCTACTGTGCCTCTGGAGTCTGGAACAATCAACAGAACTACGCATAGTCAAAACTGGGACATAGCAAAAAGGTAAACACCATCATAATTTGATGTGATTTAAGACATTCTTCTAGAGAAACACAATGGTATTGATCTCAGCATTAGTATCATAGGAACATACAAAGGTGATCCAATACAATATGAGATGGCATATAGTGAAAGTGACGATTTAGCAAAGCTTTCGTATGTTGCAAACAAAAATTAACATGAGTATATAATCAGCAGAAAGGCAAGGTAATTCCATGGTATTGTGTTAGTTATATAAGCAATTTTCATATAAACTCCAGAATCTCAAAGTTTCATATAGTTTATTTGAAATTTTGAAAATGGGCAACAACAGTCATAGACGTGGTTATTTAAGACTACAAGCACATGCCTGGATTTTAACCGGTGGCAATAAACCTTTGCTTGATCTAGTTTGTCAAATATTATACAAATGCTAATTGAGATTGGGAGCACGAATATATGAAAGTAAATGATTAAATACTTCAATATGTGAAATGGATATAGACGGAGAAACTAAATCGCTAATGCTGAACATTTGAAGATGATGACAAGTTGATCCTTTTCTCGGTTGAATGCACTATATTGGTACCAAGAAAAGCAGAGTATGTAGTTGAGCAGCAAGGAAATCATGTTTGTGGTATGTATCAAGGGACATGAGAGAGACTGTTATAATATTTCTATGGGTGAGGAAACCTGCGAAGTACCAATGTAATACGAAAAATCCTCTTCCATTTTTTCGGCTGAGCAACATGACTCATGGGGATGTTCTCTGATGCTTCAGTTTCCATCTCATGCATATGTTCTCTGACCATTCCATGTTCCACGGCTGGGTTACCACACCCATTAGTGAAGTACTGATAGAACATATGGAGTACTATACAAGCGTATGGTGCATTTTTTTTATTCTAGTTCTAACCTACCGATGGCTATGGAGTTGCCAACGCAAACCGATTTGTTCAACTTCTTGTTTTTTTGTTCACTTCTCTTGAAAAGCTCTGATTTAGGAATGATATAAAGGTTGATGTACCAGCAACAATCATGTACTACTTAGAAAATGATACTGGGATAATATAGTTTGTTTGAGCAATCTCAAATAACGATTCTCCATCAAATTCAGAGCTCTTGAACCCCATAATGATAATTCAAATATTAAATGGTGTCTCCTCTATATTAAGATCAGTAAAGTAAAAGTGTCAAAGAAATTTTCATTAGTATATGGCTATGGGATGGACAGATGGCATAATAGAACTTAATGTACCTATGAAGCTGAAATGCAACATATTAGCAAGACATGATTCACTTGTGAAAACAAGTACTTAGGTATATCAAGCCATTAATTTCTTTGTGAAGAATTTTGAAGCAATATAAGGATGCAAACCTTTGGGTGCTTACTGTCATAATGAATCAAAGGAGAAAGACAGTAGATTAATGCTCAAGACATGGAGTTTTGTTGCAATTTAATCTTCTTTCTCGTAGCAGCAACCTTGAGGCCGCCCTTAGTCTAGCAACTCAGCTGCTGGAACCTGCAGTGACATTTCGTCATGCACCTTGCATGAATGCCCTCCTCTGCTATGATAGTTGACATGAGAGAGCTTAGCTAGATGGAATAGCAGCGATGGCAGAGGGGAGCTAGGGATCGCACGCCACCGCCGGGTCTCTTGCTATTCCCATCGGGCCTCTGATGCATCTCCTCTTCCGTCTCGAGCCGATGCAAGTGGCACACAGGAACGAGGAGAGAGGAAGGTGGGTAGTTGCCATGCACGCGGATGCGCCAGCGACTTGGAGGCGGCCAAGCCCGCGACCATATCAGCATTGTTGCCTTCGGCAATGTGCTCTGCTCCGGCCCTGGTCGCCGCCGTAGCACTGTGAGAGGGAAGAGCTCGGGCATCCGAAAGCGAGCACGGAGGAGCACGATGTTTTATGAGCTAGTGCGAGTGCGCAGCTGTTCGAGAGGAGTGTAGAAATTCCTCCGCCGTGTTCCAAGACGCATGCGAACAGACAGCGAGATCTTCATTGCGAGGGCCGAGCACTCCACCGCCGGGGCTGCAACGCTCGACCTTCACGCCTGCGCCGGGGTGGCCGCAGCCGCCGTGCCTGCGCCCGCCGCCCGCTCCGGGGTGGCTGGAGCCGCCACGCCTGCACCGCCGGCCGTGCTGGGGTCGCAGGGGCCGCTGGGGCCCCTGCCCGCGCCCGGGGATGTTCGAGACCGGAGCGGCCGGGGTCGCCGCGCCCGCACCCCGCTTGCATCGGGGTCGTCGGGGCCGCTGGGCCCCCACCCGCGCCGGGATGGCCGGGAACGACGTGGCCGCGGCGCCTGCGCCGGGAGGAGGGAGGTGCGGGGGCGGCCAGGTCGAGCGCGGTTGCGCCGCACGGCCTCGGGCGGCTCTCTGTCCTCTGCACGACGGGCAACCTCTCGGGATGCAGCCTGTTCGTTTGGCTGTGGCTTGTCGTAAACGATCGTAAATTTCCAGCTGGAACAGTATTTTTCTCTCACACAAACCAGCCAGCAGTACTTCTTCACGAACCAGCAACGATATGAACCAGCCAACCGAACAGGCTGATGGTTCGCGAACTTTACGGGTCGACGCCCGAACCGACCCGCAATCGGACGGACCAGATCATCTGTGATCGTTCGATCCAATGGCTAGCGGGCTAATGGGTGACGTGGCCCTATTTGTTAGCCCGCTTTTGGTGCAGGATTCGTTAGAAGAGATTGGGATTTAAGTGTGTAAACTGTAAATAGTGAATGAACCCAATTTTACATTGCGGTGCCTGTGCTCTTAGTGTTGCTCTCACCTGCGTGTACCCGCGCGCGACGATGCCGTCGACGATCTTGCCGAGATCGAAGCCACCCCGCGTGGTCTTGAGCACGGTGCCGCCCTTCTTGTGCCAGCCGTCGACGGCGGCGGGGTCCAGCCTGACGTGATCCTCGTCGGCGCCGTAGAACCCTCGGTATCCCGCGGCGACGCCGAAGACGTGGCGGACGCCGTAGAGCTCGTGGAGCCCGACGACGAGCTCCCTGAGCACGGTGTTGAGGCCCGGGCAGAGGCCCCCGCAGGTGACGAGCGCGGCGCGCGCCGCGGCCGGGTCGACGGCGAGTGCCCCGCGAGGCCCCGCGCGGCGGTAGGCGACGAGCGGGGACGGCGCGGCGGAGGCGATGTCGAAGAAGGCGTGGCGGAGGGTGACGTCCCCTGGGGAGATGTAGAAGGTGGCGGGCGGGTGGAAGTAGGGGTGCCGCGAGATGGGGTTCGGGACCGCCGCCGCCGGGGTCGGGGAGGCGAGCGCGGAGGGGAGGCGTGGCACGTCGCGGAGGGTGAGCGGCGGGAGCGTCACGGTGGTGTTGGTCGGGCCGGTGGCGTCGGCGTCGGCGGGGTTGCCGCCGGAGCTGGTGGCGGCGGTGGGGTCCATGTGTCGGCGAGCGAGGTGGGTGCGTGTGGGGGCCGCGCGGCGGGATGGGATGGGAGCGAGACGGTCAAGACGGGGAGGTTTCAGCTTCCAGAAACTAGGGGCTGTTCGGCTGGCTGGCCGGTGGCTGGCTGGCTGGGCAGCCCCTCACGAATCACGGTTTACGTGAACAGTGATTTCAAAATGAATAGATTTTTTCACAGAAAAATTTTTGCCACGGGTGCCCTCTGCCGGAGTCCGCGCCCCAGCAACAGCTCGTGACTTTTTTATATGCAAAATGGCCCGCGTCGCCATGACCTCGAGTCGACACCGCAACCATGATGCACACATTAATTCATCTCTATTAAAACTAAAGGCTAATAAAACACCTAAATAAATTCGATTGCCACGATTCGATGTGGGATGGCGGGCTTCGCGGCGGCAGGTCAGCACGCCCATCCATCCCACGACGACATCCACGGTGGGTGAAAAATCAAACACACCACTCGTCACCTCCACGCGAAGCTCCACCAGCCTTCCTAGAGGATCACGGCAGGACGGCGTGGTCCCTGGCAGATCTGGGCAAGCGTCCGTTGGATGGGGAGATGCGGCCTCCCCCTCTGCCGAGTCCACCTACCTTCGGGCGCAGCCTGCTGCCGCCATGACCACTCAGCGAGGTCGCCCACCGACGACGCGCGCGACGCGGCAGACGTCCGACATCCACGGTGGCCCTCGCCGTACACCACCATTGGAGCGGAAGGCAATCCGTGGTCCCCGGCGGGCAAAAAGTGGTGGATGGGGAGATCTGGCTTCGCCTACGGCAGCGCAAGGTCGCCCACCGACTCGACGTCGCGTGCCCCTCGTGAGAGCGGAAGGCAATCCTCCCGTGCTGGTGGTAGGCCCCGCCTCTGACTGCTACTCTCTGCTTGCTCGCTGTAGAGGAGACTCTCGCTTGCTCATGCTGTTGGAGACTCGAGCTGCTGTGCCACGCACAACTGTTGGTGAGTTTGCATATTATCATCTCATCATCTTTGAAGTATATTTCCTCATGAAAAAATTGTGACTTTTATTTTCTGCTTTTAATATTTTGCTCTGATAGTGCAACAGCCTGGATCAAATATTGATAACTAGAGCAATTTATATTCTAAAAGCAAAATAGCAATTTAAATTGACTAGCAATTTCAGTTGCATGGATATGACCATACATGGACTTTTTTGTAGAAACAGGGAGGGGTAATCCCGGACGGATTATATGTATATATAAATTTTAAAAGTTACAAAGAGAAATAGTGAGCTCAATCTTGACATGAAGGTGTTGTGTTATCTCGTCAGTTTCATTTGGAACAATTTAATTTCCATTACTTTCTAAATTGGAGAGCTCGGTTTGTTCTAAAAGAATGCTTTGATTTGAACTGACCAGGGGTTCTGACTTGGCATCTTGTGTGGAGTGGTGGTCTAGATGCTATTTCTTCTCGGCATCGCCCTGTTCGTCAACTGCAACAAAGAAGTAAGCATAATTTTAGAGCTTCTTCAATGCATTTGATTAAGTACCTCAGTGAATTTGTGTGCAAATTTTACACCTCTAGTTATTGGCTGTGTGGCTATGTTTTGTTGGTGAACTGAACAAGCTTTGGAAATATTGTAATTTGCTTCTTCTCGATTATTAATATGGAGAGAAATGGTTTATTGCCCTTTGTGATGCATAAGAATTATATGCTATATTAAATATATGTAGTTATGTACCGTGCTCAAGTCATGGTTTATTCTATATATTTCTCTGAAATTAAACCATTTCTTTCCATTTCATTTTTCTAATATATGATAGAATCTATAAAATCAAGGTATTTTGAGAAGCCCATTGGTTTTCCTGCAGAAGTACACACCCTTGTTTTGATTTGGAAAATAATGCTCTCTTGTGGGTGGAGTAGTTTGAATTTTAAATCTCATGTAGTTCGGTCTTCACTGTTCTAAAGATAAAGAGATGCAATTGTCTTAGGGCTTGTTTGTTTCCATCCAAGAATGTATAATGGGATAATGGTGTGTATGCCCTCGGTCTAGATGCCAATAGTGTTTTTACTCCTGCTTTTTAGATTTTGTGATTTTGCCATCGCTATTTTCAAACGAATGGACCGATTAACGTTGGTTTGGACATCCTTTACTTATAACCGGATTTTAAGTTTTTTAAATAAAATATATGGAAAACGGAGAAAAGGACAATATTGCCCCCTCTAGACTTATGTAGCCTGAGTTCCTTCCTTTCATGTTCTAGTCCTATGGAACCCTGCCTACAACCATTGTGCACCCACAAAATCTGCCTACAACCATTGTGCACCCATAAAATTACACATAGGAATTCGTCTCCATTAAAATCAAGGGCTAATAAAACACCTAACCCAAATTCGATGGCCACGATTGGATGTGGGATGCCATTGAACAAGCTTTGGAAATATTGTAATTTGCTTCTTCTCGATTATTAATATGGAGAGAAATGGTTTATTGCCCTTGTGATGCATAAGAATTATATGCTATATTAAATATATGTAGTTATGTACCGTGCTCAAGTCATGGTTTATTCTATATATTTCTCTGAAATTAAACCATTTCTTTCCATTTCATTTTTCTAATATATGATAGAATCTATAAAATCAAGGTATTTTGAGAAGCCCATTGGTTTTCCTACAGAAGTACACACCCTTGTTTTGATTTGGAAAAGAATGCTCTCTTGTGGGTGGAGTAGTTTGAATTTTAAATCTAATGTAGTTCAGTCTTCACTGTTCTAAAGATAAAGAGATGCAATTGCCTTAGGGCTTTTGTTTCCATCCAAGAATGTATAATGGGATAATGGTGTGTATGCCCTCGGTCTAGACGTCAATAGTGATTTTACTCCTGCTTTTTAGATTTTGTGATTTTGCCATCGCTATTTTCAAACGAATGGACCGATTGTCGTTGGTTTGGACATCCTTTACTTATAACCGGATTTTAAGTTTTTTAAATAAAATATATGGAAAACGGAGAAAAGGACAATATCGCCCCCTCTAGACTTATGTAGCCTGAGTTCCTTCCTTTCATGTTCTGGTCCTAGGAACCCTACCTACAACCATTGTGCACCCACAAAATTACACATAGGAATTTGTCTCAATTAAAATCAAGGGCTAATAAAACACCTAACCCAAATCCGATAGCCACGATTGGATGTGGGATGTCAGGCTTCTCACCCCGCCTTCTCACCCCCGCACCCCCGTGCCCTCCTCACATGTCTCACATGTCGCGACCGTGATTCAACACTCGAGATAGACTATACACTTTATTCATAATGAACATGCAAAAGAAAACCGTGCACATTATGGATCCACTCTCAAATGATGTATGCTACAAGGGTTATGATCAAATCATGCCATATATAGCTACATTTCATACTATTGCTAAAAGGTTCAGTCTCGCCATGAAACTAACAAATTCTAAGTGGAATGGCAATATTTATTACTGGAAGCAAAAATTCCCTACGTGTTACAAAAGTTACAAAAAATAAAGACTGATAATCACTTATAATATGTTTCATCTTTCTTATCACAAAATAATTATTTGATTTATGTACAATAAATAAACAAATGTTCTTCTCCAGAAAATTATGAGGCTTCCTTGTATACAATTTCATGAAGTAATGGGATGGTGTAAGATTGTCACCGATCAACACTGTAAGCATATATTCTTTAACTATATTCCATACACTACATAAAAAATTAATAACTTAACTTATTATATCTGCCATGCACAGCTATCAATTTCACTGAGAATGAAATTATTGGCGGATATTCTGAAGAGCCGTGCAAACGAATGTTTTGACAGCTTCCTGAAGATTTCTAAGTCATGATTAAGGACTTAGACAGAATGTAACATGGATGGTTAATATGAGAAATAATTTTACTATGCCTTCTTATGCAACAGTGTTTTTTGAATTGTATACATGCTCAAATACAATTGTGTAAAAGTTGAACTATAAAAAAAATATTGGTTGTTTTCACGTGCATCCCAAAATAAAACCACGACGTTAGCATGGGCATTATACTTATACTATTTGTGTAAGTAATCTCGTTTTATTCGAGCTAAATGAGGTGTTTACTTTGCATTTTGCGACTCAGGGATCTGATGCATGGTCGGCACACCTTCCCCGGCGCAGTTGGCAAGGAGGCCACCGCATCACACGGCGGCATTCATGGCGCATGGCTGCCACGGTGCTCAGCGCATCCACCAACGAACTTCCAAGATTTTCGTGTCACGCTATGCTCCATAATTCACTGCGCTAAAACTTAATTAAATTTGATCTTTGCAAAATTTAATAAAATATACTAAATCCGTTCTAAATTATAGTTCGTTTGATTTTTTTTTATTTCAAGTTTGACCACTCGTCTTATTAAAAAAAAATTATGTTAAATATCACTTCTTTTACTGTGTCTTGCTTTATTAACAAAAATTCTTCAAGAATAACTTAAATTTAACTATGTTTACATAAATTTTATTTGAATAAGATGAGTGGTCAAACTTATGGTCAAAAAAGTCAAACAAATTATAATTTGAAATGGAGGGAGTATTAAACAAAGGATGTATGCGTGCATAAACAGGGTGCATGCGCCACGCAGGCTAAACAGATACTTTGAAATTTTATCTAGGGTAGGGAACTAATGCCTACTATGTTCTTGAGTCCTCACGATGCTTGACTGGTGCTTCTGTATAGTTCGGACGATCAATATCAACTAATTTAAAGATAGACACCATAACATAGAGCGTGATTTTAAAAAAATCTGAAACAAGTTTCATAACTTTCCTAGCTAAAAAATTTTGTTTATGAATTTTCAGAATAAGGAGTAAACCAGGTTTTAGGATTTTTAATTGCATTATATTTCCTCAAAAAATATAATTGAATAATATTTTGATTTTATTATTAATTTTTAGATGTTTTTATAATATTTTTTCTAGTCTCATTTACCTCTTGAACTTTTAACTTGGTCTGATTTACCCTCCCTGACATGACACCGCATCATCAAATCACCGTCAAAACCACCAAGGTGCAAAAATGTATGGTTTTCAAAATTTCAAGAGGTAAAAAGCTGGTTTCATAGATCATGGAGGAAAATTGATAGTTTTTTTTTGAAACTGTGCTAGTTTTTTTGGAGAGAGAAAAATTGGACTTTCTTCCAAAATCCAAATAATGCGAGTTTCGCTGGCGTCAGGGCCATGGTTACTTTTTTTTTGGGTTACTGTGTTAACCTGGGCTGGACCTTGTTGGCTTGTTGTATGGGCCGAAATTATTGCATAGGCCATAGGGTCTCGGCTTTGGCTTGGATCTGGGCTGCGGCACGCCCAGCTTCCGCGCCATGTCTCTCTCTCTCTCTCTCTAGATTGGATGCTTCTGGAGTCTGGACTCGCGGAGATGGGCGGGCGACTCAGGTCAGCTCGATCTAGATTGGCACAAGACGCCGACGGCACGGCAGTTTTCCCCCCAACCCGGCAAAATCCCTTTTCGTGCCTCTGGTCGGCCGAGCCCGATAGCCAGATAGGAATACAAACAGTCCGCACGTCATCCCCGCCTGCGGATACCCAGCCGAAGGAACAAGAACAAACCGCCCAAACTAGCTGTCGCCCCGTCGCTTCCTTCACGTAATCCCCCGCCGCCCCATCTTCTCCTCCCCCCTCGCTAAGCAAAAGCAACCTGCAACCCCCTTCTTCTTTTCATCCTCCGATTCCGCGAAATTCCCCCGCAGCTCTTCGTCCCCGGAGGAACAAGCCCGCCGCCACCGGAGATGTCGTACGCCTACCTCTTCAAGTACATCATCATCGGCGACACAGGTTCGTCCCGTCCCGTCGGCCCCCTCCCTTCCTCCCTCCGCTCCCCGATTGGATCCGCGCGCCTCCCAACCTGCCGCCGCCGCAGCGGCGAGATGGAGATCCAATCTACCCGCTTGCGATGATGCTGACGGCCTTTCTCTGCTTGGCTTTGCTTTGCTGCAGGCGTTGGCAAGTCGTGCCTGCTGCTGCAGTTCACCGACAAGCGATTCCAGCCCGTCCACGACCTCACCATCGGCGTCGAGTTCGGGGCCCGGATGATCACCATCGACAACAAGCCCATCAAGCTCCAGATTTGGGACACGGTCGGTGCCCCTCTTTTCTTTGTCTCTACCTCCGCTACTTTCCTTCGTTCTTACGCGTCCCTTAGATACTTACTTCCGGCGGCCTATAGCTTCTACCACTACCAATTAAGGCAACATAATTGCTTCCTCAGTTGCTTATGGGACTTGAGCTACTCAATTTTGGTTGCAAACTGGAATTTAGGATGTCCAATTGGTGTGGCACAAAGTTGTTTTGGGGGTCTGTAGTTCAATATGAAAACATTGTATCTTGCTGAGCTCTGAAGCTACAATATTATGCTCAAGTCTGGCTCTAAACTGGAATTTAGAATGTCCAATTGGTGTGCCACAAAGTTGTTTTGGGGGTCTGTAGTTCAAGATGAAAACATTGTAGCTGGCTGAGTTCTGAAGCTACAATATTCTGTATATTCTCTTTGTTCTTTATCAGCGTGCTCCGCCCCACTGAAATTATCGGATTATTAGTGCACTGAACTATGGGACCGCTTGTTGATTTAAGCTACCCTTAGTGCCACGCCATAATGTTAATAATACGGAATACCCACGTGGCCACATGCATCATTCATCTGACCTGATTGTGCTGTCTTTTAACATTATACAGGCTGGGCAAGAGTCATTCAGATCCATAACTAGATCATACTACAGAGGCGCTGCTGGTGCTCTTTTGGTTTATGATATCACTAGGTGATTACCCCCATAAATTCTAAGTTGCTTGGGTGGCCTTTTTTTATGCACGCGTTTTCCTGAATCATGCTGATACTGGCATTCAAATCCATGTGTTGAACTGATTTCAGGAGGGAGACTTTCAACCACCTTGCAAGCTGGCTGGAGGATGCGAGGCAGCACGCAAATGCTAACATGACGATAATGCTTATCGGGAACAAGTGTGATCTGTCTCACAGGCGTGCGGTGAGCTATGAGGAAGGCGAGCAGTTTGCAATGGAACATGGCCTTATCTTCATGGAGGCCTCGGCAAAGACCGCACAGAATGTCGAGGAGGTGAAGCTTGATTCTTGGTGTATCTATGTGCAGTTAAAATATTTTCCAATTTCCTCATGCAGCATGAACTTTTAAATGCAGGCATTTGTTAAGACTGCTGGAGCAATCTACAAGAAAATCCAAGATGGCGTTTTCGATGTATCTAATGAGGTACCTTTTAATCTCAAACCATTACTTTTGTTCTGCTTAAGGAAAATGTAGTGAGCCCCTTCAATATACCATTTGAAGAACTTATGTAGATTCTTAACCGATGTATTACAGCCCAAAACCTTCGCTGAGATGAGTGCCAGATACTCATGTACGTTTATGTTCCATTCAGGAGCACTATATATGGTTTGCCTTACGATGTGCATAAGTCATTATTACCTATCTCAGTAGAAAGTTTATCCTTTTTTCCTTACAACCTTTATACGCTGAAAGGTTGGAATGAGGATAGCCAAGCATGGAAAGTGGAAAGAACAATATTGACACTTCGACCGGCAGAGTGCGTGTTTGTCCTTGTGATCTCTTGAAACTTGCTGTTAACTAAGACCTTGCACTCTTAATTTGTATAATAAATCGCATAGAAGTAGCTTTTTCTGAAATGGCATAAGTGGATAAACTTTTAATATATAATTTTGAGGGGGAGGTGTTCTTGATGCTGAAAGAGATAGATTTTCACTTTTTAGTGTCCAAGGATTAGCAGAGAGCATTTTTATGGAAACTAGCAATTCTCTGATAGTGAAAATGCCATTTGCCCACCAGGAACCTTGTCCGACTCTCCATAACATTTTGCTTGCTTACAATACGTATCTTGTTACTGCCACATGGGTATGATCTCATACATCTTCTGTCAAATTTGCAGTCTTATGGAATCAAAGTTGGATATGTAGTCCCTGGCCAATCTGGAGGTGCTGGTAGCTCGTCTTCTCAAGGTGGTGGCTGCTGCAGCTAATCTGCTAACGCCCTTATGTACAAAGGCATATCTGTGGTGTACTCGTGTGTCACATACCAGCTGCGTTATTATCTTTATGTTTCTGAGCGTAAAATAGTTACTGCTCCAGGGTGCTTTGTTATTTGACGCACCAATGCATTATGTGCCTGAACGATTTAAGAGATTCAGTTTATTTATGTCAGGTGTTTACAAACTCTCTGTAAATCATTAGATTCTTTACTGTTTTCTGTGATTAAGCACTCACGAATTCTGTCCATTTGCATGTGTAAATAAGATATCTCGATGCATTGTTTGGTATGATATTAGTTTGTCTTATTTGAATATGTTGGAACTCATGTTTCTGCAAATATGCGTCTTGGATACATGAGCTTATCAAACTATGATGGAGCCAATCACTGAATAGTGAAATACTCTGCTTCCAGATGGTCAGGTGTTCTGTTTAGGATCGTGGTGGCTTTCCGCGATATGTACAAGTCATAGTTTTGCCTGTTAAGGAAAAATTTGGGACACCTTTTGTGTGTGCTTCGCTGATGCATCTTGCTGGTTTTGTAGTTAAATTCACAAAGGCTTCCAGCCGAGGGAAGAAGTAAAAAAAAAAAAAAAAAAAAGGAAAGAAGTAAAAAAGAAAAAGAGAAAGAAATAAAAAAAAAGAACAAGAAAAATAAAATAAAAAAGTAACCAGCCGAGAGAAGGAGAGGAAGTAAAAAAAAAAAAAAAAAAGAAAGGAAGAAAACAAGGTTTGCAGGTATCTTGCTGGTTTTGTTGTAGTTAAATTCACAAAGGCTTCCAGCCGAGAGAAGGAGAAGAAGTAAAAAAATAGAAAGAAAAATTAAAGGAAGAACTAGATAGAAAGAAAGAAAAAACAAGGGGCAGAGAGAGAGAGAGAAACAAGGTTTGCAGGTATTTGAAGTGATGAATAAGCTGTTCTTGTTTCCCCTTTTCTTTTTAAATGAACCGAGCTGTTCTTATTTCTGGTTCTCAAAATCACTTGTCCAATCCAATACTGCTCATCCATCCAAAAAACATACAATTCTAGCACAGTGTCATGGTTTAGTATCTTAAATTTAATTAATTATAGATAAAAAAATATCAATACTTATGATATCAAATAAATACCATTAGATTAATTATAAAATGTATTTTCTTAATAAATTAATTTAAAGTTATAAATATAAATAATATTTATTAGAAATTTAGTCAAACATAAACTACTTTTGCTGCACGTAACCTGTAGTTGCATGTTTTCTTGGACGGAGCGAGTACATCAGTTCATGTACTTATGCCAAGATATAGATCCGATTAAGCAGACAAACAAAAATGAAGAGTTGGTGCCAAAATCATCATGGAATTGTTTGAACTTGTAGTCTACTGCACTCTACACCAAGCAACAGAAACTTATTACACACCGATGAAGTAATTTACAGCGTCTGCTACTGCTCTGCTCCCTCCACGGAGGAGCTAGCACGTCTTACACACACGCCTGCACCGACCAGCGCAGACCAAGATCCCCAGGCAGGTTGAGGCAGATGCAGCAGCGTGCCATGCCTGGTGGCTCAGTCAGTCAGTCAGTTGGTACCTGGCTGTTGTGTTGCAGTCGAAGCAGGTGTGGTTGCGGCCGAGGTCCTTGATCCTGTCGTAGCCGTGCCTGAAGACGCCGAGGCCGAAGAGGACGCCGACGATGAGGCAGATGACCAGGATCACCAGCAGGTAGCACCCCACATGCTCCTTGGTGAACTTGAGCTTGCACATGGCGCCTCTCTCCGGCTGGGTGCCTGACTGTTATGTTAGGGAGCTGATTCGCGGGGGTCTTATCGGAGGAAAATATGCTAGGCGCGTCTGTCGCCCTGTCCCTTCGGCGGTATGGCTACGGTATCGCTTACAGAGGTGCACGTACCCCTGATGATGATGTGCCTTTTGCCTTTGTGCCATGCCAAGAAGAAATGAAGAATCTGATCGCCGCGGACTGTATGGACTAACCCACGACACTTGGCTCTCTTTTTCTACGACTGTACGAATAATTGCCGTGTAAAGCTAGTGTGGCCAGGAGAAGGTGATGGAGGGACGAGCGTAAACCCAGGGCATGTGTGACAAATTTATTCGGCGATAGCTACTCTACAAGCTACAGCCTACACAGGTGGACTGTATGATCGGTTCCGCTATCAGGCGGCGGTGTTTTCAGGTATTGGAACCGGATTCCAATCCACAATCCTAGCCGCCCATGCCTATGGATGGTAATGGTAATTGGCGTGGGTCCGTTAGCGTGGCTGAACCTCAACGGCACCAACCCATAGGTTGCAGATCGGACGAGACGCTTGCAGGCCGTGGTGTGCCTGCCTACCTCAGCCTCGCGACTGGTTCGGGAGACCATCGACACGACAAAGGCACGGCCACCGGCCATCGCTCCGCGGCTCCCGGCCCCGCCGATCGATTGCCGACGGTTCGTGCGGCGGCGCACGGGCGACACCGCACGATGCTCCTGCTGAAAGTAATAGCGATGACCGGTGGGAGTGGGTAGGTGCCGGAGGCAGCAGATTCTAGGGTGACACCACCGGCGGACATCGCACCAGCCGGCGCAAAATAGTTGATTTAATTTGAGACCGAGGGAGTACTCCTTCAATAATAACACTAGAGAAAAAAAATTATAAATTTTGATCAAATTATATACAAGTTATTAAGGATATAAAACTTGCATCAACAAATTTGTGTGTTCGAAGTATCTCTGAGGTTATATTGATTTTGTAGCAGTTGACCAAATGTTAGAAGAGAAACTAAGAGTCAGAATCTTATTGTGCGGAAGGAGTATCCAGTGCTATAACTCAACAGTCAGCACTGTATCTGTATTGATAGATTGCCAGGTGACGCCGACCAAAGTGGGAGAAATCAAGGTGGGCAATGGGCACGGAGTACATATAACTATATAAGCAAGCGTACACAATACAGGGAGCAAGAGGTGACCCTTTACTATGTCCAATGACATCAATGTCACGCCACTAATATCTTCATCTCTCTGTTCGTAAGATGATCTTGTCTATTTTGACCGACTCTGAACCATGTAAACGTTACAAAGAAAACGAATGGCTCATTTTGTTACCAAACCAAAACGTCCTGAGACAAAAGAATCAACAGCTAGCAATCATGGCAATTCAAGCTCAACAGCTTCAGATGATCCAGGCATCCTTTCCTTTACCGAGCACGTCTCGTCAGTACAGCAGAAAACTCGATACAGGGCAACAGCACGTCGTATGAGAGAAAATTGTACTAGACAGACCTTCAGCAAAATCAGTATCTCCGATCGATGGAAATTTAGCTTCAAGCAGAGCTAAAGATCAAATAGAGGCAGACACAACTGCAAGGCATAGCTCCAGATCAATAATCCCCATGTGAAAACACAAGCATACAACCTTAGATATCCAAAATTCTGCGGCATCTTATATGTATGACAGGGGAAAGACATTACGAATTAACTACAGTATGAACCTAAGACAGGCATGAATGATAGGCCAAATAGACAGGGTGATTTCACAACAAGAACTACTGAGATTGAGATATTTCATCCGCGTTCATCAGAAGGGTAGCAATGCAACATTCTTTCACATAGCGTGCAGGGAAAGAGGTTACATTGTACGGGAAACTTGTCAGGCAAGAGAGCCGACAGCAGGGGAACAGTAAAGCTCAGCGCGGCCCCCGGCCCCGACCACGTCCACGACCACGGCCACGGCCACGCCCCGCCCCAAAGGCTTTCCTGAATAGAATAAACATTGACCAGTCAGTCAGTATCATTAGTAACAATTAGGACTCAAATCAGAACAAAAGTGGAGGAAACCAAACCTGTAGTTGGCTTCTTAGGCTTGACCCTAGGGGTTTCCTCTACCAGCAAAGTTTCCAAGTTCAAGCTGTCAGGAAGAATGTAATAGCGAATGTTGTTTCCTCGCACACTGAGGTGGTCAAGCGTTACAGGGTTCTTCCCTTTCAGTGTAAGCTTCACTGTCTTCAGATGAGTGTTCATGCTTATGTCAACACCTACGAAAAATGTGCATGAATCAGAGGATATGCTGTAAAAACTAAACCATAATCCTAGATTAATCGCATCAGTATTAGCAAAATATGTGCGGATCATAATATTGTGAGTACACCGTTCAAGGACCAGAACTGCTATCAAACAGTGATTTCCTGAATTGTAGCATAAAGAAAAAGGAAAGTTAAAAACAAGCCTTTCACAATGTATATTCCCCTCTCTTGTGAATAATGAACCTTTGCATGCCCCCAACACCAAAATGTAGTTTACAGGGAACCCTATCCACCCAAAACATTAACATGAAAAAAAATCTACAAAGTTGTAAGCTACCATTCCAATTTCCAATCCAGATTCCCAAGAAACCCCTCTTAGGAAGAAAATTCAATATTCTCCACTAGCATCATCCATGTATTTCATTATATGAAATAGTGTAACATCATCTAAGTTTCACATGTATTAAATTCCTCAAGGAAACGGCACAAGTACATGAGAAGCTAAAGCAATTGCAAATTCAAGTGTGCACATAATTACCAACTGATGCAATTCCCATTGTTTTAACAGACATCTAACCAGGTGACCATCCCCTAGCACTAATGGATCTAAAACCTAAGGCAACCAATTGACAACTTCAATTATGTCTACCTACTAGTCATCACTCGACAGGAATGCTCCATTGATAAAGGAATTCTACAAGAAATTTAGGGCTAAGCAAATCTCCTGTGAGGCTATGAACCAGGCAGAACAAAAGAGTAAAACCCAAGTCTAATTGAACATACCCAAACAGCAAATTTCAGTGGGATAGCATAAACCACACATATGGTTTTATTTAAAAGGACGTGGTGTGGCGCATAACTGATACAAGAGCTGTGCGCAAAAGGCATGCTCAACTCTACTTGTCTCTAAAGCTAAGTCAGACGACAGTTGGCTCCCAACTCCCAGACAAACAACACGGTACACAAGCAAATCACACTACCTCTTCAGATCGAGCTGAACAAATCCCAAAGGAAGTAAGCATACAAGCATCGGACAAAAAACCCTAGAATTCGAAGCCTATTCAGATCGCAGAAATTTAAAGGTTTCCCGGCGGCCCCGCTAGAGGTTAGAGTCGAAGCGTACCGGTGATGGTGCCGTGTACAACCGTGCCGTTCTTGAGCTCGATGGTGACCGTCTCATTGTTCAGCTTCATAAGGAACCTGCGGCGAAACCCCAAATCGAGCACCAAATTAGGCGAGGTTCGTACCAAACGGAGCGGCGAGGAAGGGCAAAGAGGAGCCAATCCGAACAAAGGGCGAACGACTACGGGGGGCGTTACCTGACGAGCTTCATCTTGGCGGGCCTGGCTTGGGGAAGGAGCGGCGGCGGCGGGGAGAAAGCGGGGAGAAACCGCGGAGGCAGCCGGCGGAGCTGACGCTTGTTTGCTTTCTCGGAGCGGGAGGAGTAAACCCTAGTTTGAAGGCTGATCTGGCCGACGGGTGGTGGGAGGCGGTTCGAGCGGCTTAGTTGGGCCTTTGTTGGGCCATTTGATTGAGCTTTATGAAAACGAAAAAGTCTATTTTACCTCTGAACTATATCCTCAAAGTTTAGTTTTTCTCTTAACTCGAAAATCGGGTAAACCATCTCCCTCAACTTTTAAAACCATTTATTTTACCTTCCTGACCTGGTTATAGTTAGTTTTCAAAGACGATTTTGTCTTTTTCTAGAGATATTTTCACAACATATAAAACTAAATAAATCTATAACTCAGTTATACATGATCCAATGAGCATGAAATTTTTACTACAGTTCAATTGGAATATTTTGGTAGTTTTTCAGATTTTTTGGATATTTTTTTGATTTTCCTAGAGCTAAATCAAAATTTTAAAAAAATTCTAGAGATTTTTTGACAACATATAAATATATTATTTGGGTTTCTCGTCTCCTAATTCATCTTTAGTATTTTTCTCAGAATTTTTAAATGCTTAGAGATATTTTTCATGGTTTAAAAACCTCATTAGGTATTTACTGGTTTTATTTTTAAACTAAAAAGACAAAACCTCCTTTGAAAACCATCTATAACCGGATCAGGAGGTAAAATGAACAATTTTAAAAGTTGAGGGAGGTAATTTACCCGGTTTCGGAGTTCAGGAAACTAGACTTCGAGGATAGTTCAGGGAGGTAAAATGGATTTTTTACTTCTTGCAAACCCATTCATATACGGTAACATGTGTTTATTGTTCCTGGCAAAATATGTTCTTATTTAGGTTAAAAAAAAGTTCTTATATAAAAACTAAAATTCATAGGAACCGAGAGTATCTCTTTTCCTTTTCTTTTTCCGCCGCCGAGAGTATCCTTTTTGCGTGTGCTTGTGTAGTTTGACTGGATAACCAGAGATTGTAACTAATGCTTGTGTTGTATGTAGCTAGTTAAAACGACTGCATAAGCATGCTGTAGTTTGCACAAGAAAACTTATGTCCATTCGTTTGAGAATTGAAGGTACAAGCTCATCGGGCGACAAAGTACAAAACACCTCAGATTTCTCAGGTGGAGTTCATCAATTGCTCAAACGTATCAAGTAGATGCTGAGCAAGCTTATCAAGTTATCTTTATCACGTTCAATCATGTGGAAGAAAACAGCATGTTCACTGGAGCCAGGGCCATTGTCCTCTGAATCTTTATTTGCTCAAAGTTTCAGGTTACCTTACCAGAATAGAAAATCCAAAGGCCCAGCCAGCAGTGAACAAAGATTGCAGAATATACATAGGAAGACAATCAAAATTTTACTATACTAGCTGACACAGCATGATGAACGAAAGGTCAACAAACGCTGATCCTAAACTGAATCCCTCTTTCTACTGCGGTGGAATGGCTGCCAACTTCTTAGGTGGGGGATTTCCTCCCGCAAGCAGCACATAGGCGTAGAAACAACCCATTGCAGTGCTGCATGATTTTCAAGCAGGAGACAACATCAGATCTTGTCCAAAGGGGAAAACAGCGTTGGATGGAGATGGAGAGTATAGAGAAAATTACCTTAGTGAAGCGTAGAAGCCCCAAGGAAGGAGTCTATTTGTCTGCACACAGAAGTAGAGATTAACACTTAATTAAGACAGTAATTGTACTATATATTCTGTACGAGTTAAAGGAGTTACCAAGAAGTAAGCATGAGAGTACTTCCATGCCAGGAAAGCAGAAATTGCTGCAAAAACACAGGAAAAAGCAGGTTGATAAGCAATGGGGCACAGGTACACCTAGTTTTAATGTGATTACATTGTAACTCAGATACTTTGTAACACAAATCTTAGGATGATGATATTCATTCTACCTGCTTGGGCCAAGATAAGCAGGAAGCTGGATCTCCCGCTCCTCCAAAACTTTAGACTGAGAGTACCAAGTAGCAGAGTGGCAAGCCCTGGTGCAATGCCCAAGACAAGACTTATGGTGCTTCTTGAGAAGATGTATCCTAGAAGCCCCATAGAGAATAAAAGACCACCTGCATTACCAAATGAAGTATCATTATTTCACTTATCTGTATGTCGATACATAAATGACAACCAAGTTGATATTTCCAAAACTTAAAAATACTGAACCGCTCAGAAATACGGGATGCCACACGTGTGAGAAGAACAAGGCCAGTGGAACAATTTGTCATCAAGTTTTAAGTATGGAAGCACAAGAAAGCAGACTGCTGATTTCCAGTAGTTAAGATTATTATTTGCCACATCAGTCTCTATATAACATACATGTTAGATAATGAATTTAGAACAGCTTTGCTATCAAGGAAATGAAACTATGTTTGCAATCAACGCATTTAGAGCAACTTTGAACAATTTATGCTATGACCAGCTCTTAATTCCTAGAAAGCTGCCAAATATCTTTCAGAAAACCAACAGTTGATACAGCATAGAAGTCTCCTGTGCGCGATTTATATCCATCTAAACACACAGTATACATTATTGAAACTCAAACTTACCAAAAGGGATCCCAAGGCAAAAGTCATGGATTTTAGCACTCCTCTTACGAGGAATAACATGCTCCTCCACCTGTAATTCCTTCATCTGGTCTGATTGCAAATCTAACTCTTCAACCCGAGCATTCTCATTGGCACATTTTGTTGAAAGTTTAGCAGCAAAAGCAAATGACTTCATACACACTCCACTTGTAGAAATCGAAAGCTGTGGAGAAAACAAAACATGTTAACCCATCCTCTGATAGTTATAGCCAAGCAAACTTGCAGCAAGAGCACCGATTAATACGGTGGTCAACATCAACGCCTTATTTAATATTTAGAGGAAAAAATACAAATATCAACAATTCAACATACACACAAAATGCATGAAAAATATACCTATATTTATAACACATTAAGCACATTGTTCAGAGAAAATAAAACATTCATCTGTTTCAGATCACGATCCAGGATCAATTTTGTCCACTTAAGAAGAAGATATTCAAAAGACAGTCCTTCTAAGCTTTAGGTTCTGACAAACACATAATTGCTGATAAAATTCTTGACTTCTCGAGGCCAAGAGCTCAATTCGGTAGAATTGGAAATTTGCTGACACAGAGGACACCGGGAGAACACGGACGCACTGGTACTGCCTTCAGTTCATCATTTTATACATAAACAACCCTACCGCAGGTAACAAATAGATCTCGCCACGAAACAAGAACTGAATTTCTGCCCAAATGCCCATCAACACCAAGTCATCAAATAACCTCTTCTGAGTCCTCTCCCTCACCTCTTCGCCATCCGATCGGATCTAATTTCCATACGGTCATGATCGATGTCCAGGTAACCCTTATACCAGGTTCTTCTCAGAAAACGATCGTACATACAGGGGCAAGAGCTCCAAGACTACCAAGTTAGGGTTTAACACTAGAATCTGAGGCATACCTTCGGGGAACCAGCTAGAAGGCTCTGCGGCCACCGGCATGAGGATGGAACTGAGTAGGCTCTAGTCCGGCGATATGCCGCCGTGGCCGCAGCCGATCCGTGCAGCTGCGCCGCCGCCGCCGCCATGGAACACGAAAGACGAGAAGGGAACGTGGAGCGGTGAGAGATTTCCAGGAAGAGGAAGGTGAACTTGGGGGTGCGCTCTCTGTAACCGTCGGATGCTATCAACCCCACAGCGGGCTCGTCATGACCGTCCGATCAGAAAGAGAGGGGAAAGAAAGAAGAGACTTTTCCACGTGTGCCATTATAAAAGATCGAAATCCACCGTCCATGATGATTTTTCTAAAATATATTAATCATATTAAATCATATTTTTTTTGCGAAATTAAAAGAAAAAATAAATTTTATATGAAAATTATAGATCTCGACGAGATCTACAACTTTCTAGTTTTGAGTTTTTTTCATTTGAAGTCGTTAAGATACTAAAAAAAATTAATAACATATTTGAACTTAAGGGCATTTTCGTCTTTTCACACCTGCAGTTTGACGGCGTTAGAGCCTGAATTGACGGAAGTGGCATGGAGGACCCGAAAAAGTTGAAGTAGTGGCGCTGAAGACCGCTGAATTTTTTTAGAGGCACACAGAGAATTTCGATCTTTTATAATGACACACAGGAAAAAGTCTCAAGAAAGAAGACGGGATCCTCCTGAAGAGCTCGGGTGCAGAGTGCACTTGGTCTAGGCTCTATGTAATCCACAGAATCATACTCCTCCTGAATTCTTCAGATAAAACTGGAGATAATTTCTCATTTGACACCAGACAAATGACATATTCTATTTTTGCTCCTCAATTTTTTCCTTCCTTATTTGACACTGACTTCAACTTTCGTTTCTAAATTGACACTATGTTCGATTTTCCATCTGACCACCGTTAAATTCCATGCGAAAAGACGATTTTGCCCCTACTCCACACCCTTCTCTCTCCTCTCCTTCTCCCTCTACTCCACACTGGCCATCCGACGCGACACGACACGGGGGCCTGCATAGCTCACAGTCTCCGTCACGTTGCCGCCGCCGTTCCCAGACCCACCGCAAGCCGACGCCGTCCCGCCTTCCAGCTGCGTACATGCCATGCCAACCACAAGCATCCTTATTAGCACTCGATCTTCCCGGCCCATCGGAGATTAAGATGCATTATCGGCTAATTAATTGCTCTTTTCGACTCCTCCCGAGACCATAAATAGTGAGGTCGACAAGACCCCAATGACTAACCAGGCAGGTAACGGTGCAGTCGCCGCACGGCCTGCCGCCACCGCAGTTGGTCAGCGCGACGCGGAAGGCGAAGGCGGCGGACGGCGACCTGGAGACGTGGCGCGGGACGGCGGAGAAGCCGACGACGACATCGGCGGCGCCAGAGCAGAGCGGCGGCGCCACGGCACGGACGAGTGCGACAATGGCAGGCAGCGCCCCAGCCCTTCCACACCATCTGTCCTCCCCCTTTTCTCGTTATGTACCGCCACCCAGCTGCTAGCTCAGTTGGAGCAGGGCTATCTAGAACTAGTGTTGGCGCTGCAGCAAGACGAGGAGAGCAGGCAGCGACACAGTACGAGGTAGCTCTAGAGCAGAGGGAGAGGGAGAAGGAGAGGAGAGGAGGGAGAAGGGTGTGGAGCAAGGGAAAAATTGTCTTTTTGCAGGGAATTTAACGGTGGTTGGATAGAAAATTGAACAGAGTGTCAATTTGGGAACGAAAGTTGGAGTCAGTGTCAAATAAGGAAGGAAAATTTTTTGAGGGCCAAGGAAAGGAATGGGTCAATTGTTTGGTGTCAAATAATGAATTATCTCATAAAACTGTTAGTTGATCTCCACCAGCCTATGGGGCCCTTGGATCTGCGCCCTGATTGGGGGCACCCAACCCCAATATGGTTGGTGGCCCCCCGTCGCACAGTGCCATAAAATAGGAGGTGGGGGCCGGGGCGCTCGAGTCACGAGGTTCGCCTGAGCCGCATAGCACCCCACCTACAGTCTAAACCCTAGCCGATCACAGAGGGGGCACTGCCAACGACGAGAAGCACCGCCACCGCCTCTACATCTCGCTGGAGGACTGCTACGACGTTGGGCTACCATACAGAGTCTACACCGACCTCGGATGACACCGCTACTCCACTAACACTAGGTTATCGCCAAGCATTGCGATGGCGGGCCCATCTTCCTCTAAGGTAGCTGATGGTTTGCATCCTTCACCCCTCTCTTTCTCTCGTTCTATCTACTGTTATTGCACTAGCACATGTTCTAGGACTCACGGTTTTGTTCAATAGCAAATAGACATGCTAGTTCTATGCCTAGAGATCCTGTTTTAGGTCTAACAATGGTACTAGAGCCTAACTAGGTGTAGATCTAGCCTATCGGAACCCTCTGTCTAGATGTAGATCATGTCAGAGGTAAGAAACAGAGTAGATCCATTCGGATCTGAAAAAAGAAGAGGGTCACCGAACCCTAACCCTAATCGGGTTAAGCACAGAGAAGAGAAAGGGTGTCGGTTTTTAGAAAGGATCTCAAAGCCGAAACCTAACCTGCGAATCAGTCACGGGGAAGAACAACAGTGAACAAAACCCTAACCCTAACCAAACTCTAATCCCCAAATCGGACAAATCCGAGAAGAGAAGAAAGGAAAATCAAAGAAAGAGACGAGGAAAAGGGGAAGAGCCCTACCTCGCCGTGCACCGCGCTGCCGCTTTGCCGGCGCGTGGGAAGACAGCCGAGCCGTGTGAGCTCCGGCCAAGGGCGCCGCCGCTAGTCCGCTTGACGGCGACATGCTCACCCGCGTGGGGAGCGCGCGCGCCAGCGAAGGGGCCGGCAACAGCGCCATGATCTCTCCTTTTCGCTCGGTCGCCACGCGCTGCTGCTGCGTTGAGGAAGAAGGAGAGCGGCGAAGAGAGAGAAAGAAAGCATGCGAAATGAATTAGGGTTTGGGGCGCCGACCGACCGGGCGGTTTTTGATCAAGCGAAATTGTCGCATGGCCGTCAGATCTGGATGAACGGACGAGAGTCACTGGACCGACTTTTGGCCTAGGCGGGTGCGCGCGGTGGGCGGCTTTGCCAGCCCAGGTCCAGGTTGCAGCCTGGGCGCGGGGGAGGTGCCGTGAGCGCGGCTGCGCGCTGGGCCGTGGGCCGCGTTTCTGCTCTGCTGGGCCGAAATGGCCACAAACACAGTGAAACAGAATTTCCTTTTTATTTTTCCAGAAACTTTTTGATACATATTTGATGAATTTCAATTGAATTTTGATGTCCAACTCTGCACAATTTTGATCCAACGACAATTTTGTTCAAAGAAAAGTATAGTACTATAAAGTTTTTGGAAAAATAATAATGAGAACATTTACGCTTTCCGCTGCGTATTTAAAGTTGTTATTTTTATTATTAAATTCGAACCAACGGGATAATTTAATTTTGAAAAATGGATATATTTTTTAGTTTATTATAATATTGTTATTATTCTGACCAACGTTGATTAATGGCAATATTATGATGTTATTTATGAGTTTTGTCATGCATTAATTCTATTTCTGCCCAACGATGATGTAGAATTAGTGTACAGGACAATTGTATATTTTAATTTTGACCAACGCTGGAAGACGTGCAATTGTTATTATTATTATATTTATGTTCTCACTCAATATGAATTGTGTTTTCAGACGGATACAACTTAATGGGTTGTATCAAAGAGATCCCTACTCACAAAGGTGACAATTACACGGAGTGGAAGAAAAAGATTGACCTGGCCTTCATCTTGGCTGAGGTGGACTGGGTAGTTACCTCACTGTGTTCTACTGAGCCTGTGGCACCGGTGAGGGAGACAAACGAGGTTGATGCCGCTTGGACAACAAGAGAGAGGGATTTTGTATCCCAAAAGATGTCTTATGACCTTGAGCATAGGAAGTGGGTCAGTGCCAATAAGAAATGTTTGGCTGTGATAAAGAATATGATTGAGCCTGCAATTGTGGATTCAATCCCAGAGTGTGACACGATCACCAAGTACCTCGATAGAATAAAGAGTCAGTTCACTGGCTCTTCAAAGACATATGCTACCCAACTGATAAAGCAGCTGGTGACAGAGAGGTACTCTGGAAATAGTGGCATAAGAGAGCACATACTAAGGATGAGCAATTTGACATCCAAGCTAAAACCACTGGATCTGGCTCTTAAGGAAGAGTTTCTTATCCATCTGATTTTTACTTCCTTGTCAAAGGAATTTAACACTTTTGTTGTCAACTACAACATGCAGCCCAAAAAGTGGGACTTAGAGAGGCTCATGGCTATGTGTGTGCAAGAGGAGGAGAGAATGAAAGCTGTCAATAGTGGCACTATCAATTATGTGAAATGCAACAAGAAAAAGAATATTAATACTAACTCCTCAAAGTCAAAGGGAAAGGGTCCCATGCTGCATCAGCCTCAGCAGAACAAGTTCACAGTAGAGAAAGATCAGTGTCTCTATTGCAAGAAGATGGAACATTATAAGAAAGATTGTCCCGATTACTTAAAGATGATCATGGCAAAGAATGGTGAGAACATTATTACGTTCATAAATGAATCTCTGTATGTACAATATTCGAAATCTATTTGGTGGATTGACTCAGGTGCAACTGTTCATGTTGCTAATTCTTTACATGGATTCCATTCGACGAGGACTACGCAAAAAAGAGAAAGACACGTTAAAGTTGTAAATGGAGTCCGAGTAGATGTTGAAGCCATTGACGATCTTTATCTAGAGTTTGTTGATGGCTTCACACTTTTACTTAGAGATGTACTTTATGTTCCCTCTTTACAGAGAAACTTGATCAGTGTTTCATGCTTGGACAATGATGGATATGATTGCCATTTTAGAAATGGCAAATGTAAGATAACATTTAATAATGCATGCGTTGGTCTTGCTATCTTACAAAATGAGCTTTATTTGTTATCACTACATGATAATGTGAATGTTGTATACGATGATGGGAACGTTGCGTTCGACAATGAGAATGTATCCTCGTCTACGGATGTAAACAGAAAACGAAAGAGAGCTCACGATGCGTCGTCGAAATTATGGCACTGTCGTTTAGGCCATATTTTGAGGGGGAGAATAGAGAG